AGCTTCAGGGACCGCGTAGAGGGAGGGGCTGGGGGGCCTCTAGCCCCCCCCCCCCCCCCCCCACTTTTTTGCAAGAATAAAAATAAATTAAACAAAAAATAATTTAACAAAAAAATTTTCCTTCACGCATTCTTCTTTAGCCCCCCCACTCGAAAACTTGCTGCGCGGTCCCTGAGCTTGGATAATATAACATTACTAGGTCGTGCGTGGTACTGTTTTTCGTTTTTTCAATTTTTAAACAAACCAGCGAGCAGCAATCTGCGAACGGTAATTGTAAGACTTATTTTACTCTCCGAAGCGTTTCGTCTAACTGTCGTAAACTTCTTCAGGGGGTTGTACTGGTAAACACTAAAGGCCTGTATTTATTAGCCATAGTTGGCAGTTATTACGTGAAGAACATTTTAAGCTGAAGGTGAGATTTGGGAGCCATGGTTTGAAATCTTTTTCTCACCTTGCCTTAAAACTTTTCTAAAACTTCTCCAGTTCCTGTTCGTAAATACGGCCAAGCCTTTATAGTGTTTGACTTACGTAATGGCCTCTAACCATGGCTTATAAATACAGGCGTTTAGTTTTTACTTGTAAAAATCCCTGAAGAAGTCTACGACAACTAGACGAAACACGTTGGAGAATAAAACAAGGTTTACAGCGACTGTACTATACAACTCTTTGAAAGCAGAATAAACAGTCCCACACGAAAGGGCTTCTCCGTTGCTTTCATTTGAATGGTCAAACAGGAAGGTGACAGACAAACACAGTGACAGCAGAACTTTAAAAAGTAAAGGTAGAGTCGCGCGAAATAATTTTCAAACTGGACGAGGAGTCGGATGAGGAGTCAGCACCGACATCAAAAACAGACGCAACACAAGAGCACATAAATAGCAACCTCTCTGAACAAGCGAATTATCCTCAGAAACGACAAAACTTTGTATTTACAATTATCCTCCGAGATTTGAAATGTTAAGGAAGCTTAAATACAAGCTAAGACTATCTCGAACTAATCTATATCAAACTAAAAGTTAAGAGCAGAATCCAACTGAGTGTCCGACCGCTACAAAATCTAGACTACCTTTGCATTTTTTAAATAAGCTCTAGGATTGGTCGCACTATCTTCGCGACCAATCAGATCCAAGGCTAAACACCAATCGCGACTTGGCAACGTACGTTTTCCCGTGCTTTCAGTTGATTGGTGAATGATTCCCACCTTTTCTATAGTCTCCCCCTAATACTCTGCAAGCGGCGACTGATAGACCCACGTTGTTGAGCACATTAAACATTACCATGCGAGCAACAATTTTCAGTATTTTTCATTTGAACGCTGCAAACCAGAACTTCACCCACATACTTGCAAGATAGGATACAACTCGCTTGGTAAATACCACCGGCTCAAGTAACGCTGACTTGATTTCAACAAACAAATTAGGAATTGAAAGGTTCAGCGAGAGAAACACACACCTCCTTGCCAAATACTTGAAATCGTCAGGACTCAGGATCCTGCCTGATTTACAGTCAACTTGGAAGAAAGGATATAGGCAATTAACAACCACGTTAGAAAGCTGCGGAGAGAATTATCAAAAACGAAAATACATTAATTAGAAAGCAGATATGCAGTAAATCCGAAACAATGCCAGAATTTACCCGCGTGAGCAAAACAACATGAACAATATGGTTCGATGAAACCGATAAAAATTGTGTGACATATTGAGAAAGAGGCCATGGCATGACACTGGCGTCACAGGCTCTGAGAAGATAGCGTGACCACTGAGACGGACTCAAACGATCTTATTCTAAAAAGCTCTCTGTTCTTGCTCTGGTGTGACGAGGAGCTGCTTGAGGTACCATCTCTCAACAAGTGATCCCCCCTTCTGTGTGCAGTAATACCTGTGGAGCTTTGGTATAGGTGAGCGTCGGGCTTTCAGGGGGGCTCTCCGGAGGTGTTGTAGAAGGCTTGGCTAATTTCTTTATGTTTGGTTTTAATGGTGAATCCTGGAGGAATAACAAGAAGAGTTGACTTCAGATTTCATCCTGAGTGAACAAGGAATTAGTTGTCACAATCAAGTTGCTGGTTTTCCTTACCTCGTCCATATCAACGTTGGTGTGAGATAATCGTCTCAGTAAATCATTGGTTGAGCTGGTTTGTAAAGTTGAAAAAGTATATCTCCCTTTCCTGCAAATTGATCGTTAAATGTGCAATTCGTGAATAAATTGCACCGATGAGAGCCAATCAGATTGTAAGGATCACCATTGATTTCAAAATGAATGCAATAAAGAATTTAACCAGCACTGATTTCACACCAGTGACGATCTTGCGAGCTTTTAAATTGCTGTTAAATGCTTTCCTTAATGTTTGATGAATGGTTTGAATGTCTTTTATTTTAATTAAGTATCTTTTGTCTTACCGTAATGTTCTCGCTTGCAGTGAAAGGAGTTTTGCGGTTTCATCGCAGAAAGTAACCTCCATGCCGGTGTTACAGCAGAGAATTAGTTTAAGTCAATGTTGTAGAATTTTTCTGGTGAAATATAATTCTAGTTGTGACTGTGTTATTGCTGTGTTATCTGCAATTGGCGTTCTGATGGCAAAAAACAAAGCGTATAAAAGTGGACGAACGCAAAGGAATTTCAGAGTCTTTAATTTGTACATAACCCGTCGAGGACTCTTCGTTTTTCAACTATTATGCTTTTGTTTTTTAGATCTTTTTTTCTGTTGAAGGAGACCAGAATTAAGATGACTGATATCCTAGACAGTACTAAATGATTGCTGCGGAGTCATTTAAGTTCAATAACTGTGTAAAAGGTGAAATAAAAGCTGTGTACTTGGTCAATTTCTTACTTAAACCTGTGAGATGTGTAACTGGTTTGTCTAGAGGCAACCCAATTTCACGATGTTAATGCACCGATTAGTTGGAAGCTTTAAACTCTCCCCCCCGCCCCCCGCCCCCCGCACCCCGAACAACCCACGGCCATTTACCGTCGTCCGTGACCGGGGGCAGGGAATGTGAACCTTGCCTTAGTGGTTGGGGTATTTAAACTGGAAGTGTCAAGGCTCTCCAGCGTAGTACACGTGTTTTAATTCAGTAGCTTGAAATGAAAGAGTTTGCTATTGTGAGCAAATGGCTTCGAAAGACAATTTTCATATCGTAGATTTATGCTTAGAAGTGAAAGACCCAACAGCAGCACTTTGCTAAATTCTACAACATTCGTTGGTCTCAAACTCGATTCAGCCTATAATAATTAATAATTTGTAACAGTTTATTAATTTATAGCGCGTGACATGCCGAGTGATCAAAAGTGCATTACAACGATAAGTTCCCTAAACTATACTAGTATAAGACATACACAATAAATTCCAGAGATAATAAATAAATCACATCATTTGTATATATATATTTACATATCTAAGAAATATTAAAAGCTAATTTAAAAAGATAAGTTTTAAGACACGACTTTAAAGTTGAAATGCATTTAATACTGCGGAGATTAGCAGGAAGAGCATTCCATTAAGTGGGTGCAGCGTATATAGTATAGTATGTATAGTATGCAAACCTATGGGTTTGCGTACTTGAAGGGCCTCAATTAGGACAATAAGGGGTTAACCGTTAGTCATAAAAAGGTGACAAAATGTAGCTTTTAGAAGTAGAGATCGGAAAATTCTAACCTTTAGTCGCTTTAACGACTTAGAAAAGCTTTAAAAAGCCTTCACCTCATTGAGGCCCTTTACTGATATTCTTGTTTTGTTGGAAAAGGGGACATAAGTAAATAATGATATCGTTATCTCAAATCCTGATGACAGGTATTTGTTTTAAACAAGTAGCTTGCGCCAATGAATCTTAGAACGGGCCTCGTCCACGCTTTTAACTACATCTTTTTTCTTCCGATGAATCTTTTTCCACTTGATCTTGAATCGTTGACCCGCAGTCAGAGTATACGTAAAGATTTCGCCTAACTTCATGATCGATTTTCAGGGAAGTAGCATGACTTCGAGCTATTTATTAACCGGAGGATTATAGATGATTTTAAAATAATCGCCAGAATTTTGAGGTGTTTGTTGTAGCTTGCAAAAACAAAAAAATCTCAAAGGCAGTCCAACTGAGTAATCCATGTACTAGGTGTCAGTGTTTTGTTCATCACCCGAAATATCACCTGAGAAATTTCTGCTATATGTGTGATACGCACACGTGATGGTTAAGTATTAGCTTGTGTTTCCTACCCTCAAGAGCTCAAACTTGCTATCAATTTTGCGTGTCAAAAGCATGTATATGTCTTTGGCAGATCGTGTCGGGAAATACTTTTTCAATACGGTGTACTATAAAACGATATGTCAATAGAACGTTAATGATCAGACAATTTAGAAATAGTAAAGACACCATAAGATAGTGATAAAAAAAGAAACAAAGGGGGTGAAAGAAATTCATCTGAGGAATTTTATTTATTTTTTTAATTTTTTTTTTCAAAATAACGGCAAGTTTAATGAAGCATGAAGAATTCATAAGTCGACAATTGTTGTCAAGAAAAATAATAGTTCCGAAAAATGTCTCTCACGTACAACACCTTAGTCAAAGCTTGCGAATACTTTCAGCTAGCTTCAAACTTTTCGCGTAGAGGTCGAAAAAAGATATCATATTTCATATTTGTAAATAGGCAAGCTTTTTAATTAACCAACTTGTAAAAACTCCCTGAGATCTGCTATTGTCATACGAGACCCGTAGGAGATTCTAAAAAATTTTTCGCTTTTTCGGTTCGCTCAGTGCCGCTAAATAGTTTATCATTAAATAAAAAGTGTTAAAAACGAAACCGAGTTTTCGAAACGAAATGAATATGACCGCTTTTAGGGGGACTGGTTTATCAGGCACAAGTTTGTTAAAACGTGCGAGAATAATCAAGATATCCTGCTATTGTGTTAATTAAGATAAGTGCCAAACTTCATTAATAAACACAAAAACGATGAACACATATTGCTCTGAGATAAAAGTTATTGGGGCTACTTATCATATCAAACAAGAAAAAAATCGAAAGACACGCAGGAAGTTGCTTTGTGTGATAAAGTACTCACAACTCGGCTATCATTGATGTTTAGCACAACCCACTCTAAATTTAAAGACATATTTCAGCAGAGGTAAATTAAGCTTAGTCGAGGTAGGGTAAGTAATCTCTTTTGTATTTATAAGATCATGTAACAAGTTTCTTTCCTTTCTTTGTTTGGGTTTTGGTGCGGAAGTATTAGAAAGTTGGTCTGGTTCGTTCCTAAAAATTGTGACGACAAAATAAGTTCTGACGGTTACTAAAGGGGGCAACTGTTTCTAATGACGAAAAAAAAAGAAGAAAGATTGGCCAATATAGAATTGCAGTTCATGTCTAGTGTGCATACATCGGGGTATGGATTCATGATCACGCAGGGAAGTTTGGAGAGGACGAAAAAAGCTCGATTGTCGCTCGAGGCGCAGCTGAGAACAATGTTATCTGCTTTAGTGCTCTATGACGTAGCTGACACAACTTGTGCACGAAAATAGCGTTTTATCCCAGATGTCGGTTTTACCAGATATTATCTTGTTGTTCGAAAAGTCGGTGCCACAAATAAAATGCAAGAGAAAATGATTAAGAAATATTTCTAGACCAATTCGTTATTCGAACAAGAGCTAATTGATAGAAGAGAGAAGCAAGAGTCATTTATTCACTGACCTTATATTCTAATATTTTTCGAGCTTGTTAAGGTTATTTTCACGACCAGCCTGGCGAAGCTATTCCGCTCTTCTATCCAACACCTGCTTGGACGGTACGAAGTAAATCTTTGTCCGGCACAATGGAACGGCTGCAGTCCTTGTTCTTCATGGCGATTTAGCGATAATCATAATTTTAAGCCCTTCTAGGCCATATTCCACTTCATGTTTGTTTCGGCGTAAAACCGTTCGAGCAAACTATTCAGCCGGCTCTTAGTGTTCGATTTGTATAGGTAACAACAAGGTTTTGAACGCAATTTGGTGTTAATAAGCACGAGTAAATGGATTTTACTAAAAAAGCGGTAATGGAGAATAGGGAATATGGAATAGAGAATGGGGAATGGCAGACCTTTTTAATTTCAAGATGGAAGATAAAAGTTAAATTTTCGTTTCAGTGTTTTGATACATAACACTTTTGCTATAAAGAAATTCAAAGTTACTTCTGAAAATCAAAGAAAAAACATCCTACGCTCCGTGTGATGAAGAATTCATAACTTGACTATCATTGGTGTTTAGAAGCAGCACCTGTCGACATTTAGTACAACAACTTTAGGAGACATACTCCTGCTGAGATAAATTGAGGCCGAAATTCGATATTTCTACTCCATCTATAAGACCATCTTAAAAGTTTCATTTTTTCATGTCTTTGGGTAAGCTTTGCATAACAAAACCTCGTTATGGCATATAAAACTTGGTATTTTCCACGGATTTTTATTTGGAGACTCCAGAAATTTCAATTTACGAAAATTGGAAACCTCGGAATGAACGGTGTTGTCAGTACAAAAGTAAAGAAAACCAATATCTAACATCAAAACTCTTTCGGCTGTTTTAAATTACAACAACGAGAAAACGCTGACAATTACAAATGGGAAAATCATCGAAAAAAATAAGCAAATACGGTAGATAATTTTTGTTTTCGCCTTTCAAGGTGACTCAATGCAATAACCGGAAACGATAATCATTTTTTTTTAATGAAAATAACTTTTGCCGGCTGATTTTATGGGACCTAGACTGTGTCTCGGTTCATAAAAAGGCAGAAGAAGAACTCGGCCAAATCTAGCTTTCTTTACTGTTTCTTTACACGCTTATTCCAATAACGCATATAAAGTGCAGTGTCACTTCTTAATGCTGTCGATGATTAGTTTTTCGTAACTTGATTGCCAGAACACGTTCATGTGTTTAATATTAATACGTTCAACTGGTGGAGGCCGAAGGAAACTAAAACAAAACCTTTTTGGATTGACTTATCCTTCTTAGGTGTAAATTTAGGTATTAATTTGGCTGAAAATCCTTACATAACTTAATCTCAACATTTTTAACTTTGTTGATAGGTACTTAATCTGTGTGCAGCAATCGGCACCTACATTCACCTCAGAATGAATGCAAAGTTCTGGCTGACAACCATGTTTCTGATGTCCCGGATTGGTGTACTCAACGCTAACAGCCGATGTCATGTAACTGAAAGCTCCATCAACGGAATGTACCTAAAAGGTCACGTGTTTAAAATGTATCGCGATCAGTTGCCTAGAGAATGTTATTTCCGGTGTGAAGAAGAAGTCACGTGTCAGAGTTACAATGTCATCATTGGTCAAAACATCTGTGAACTGAACAATCGTACAAAGGAAGCAAGACCGGAAGATTTTATGCCGGATCAGAGAAGATTTTACATGAAGCGTTCTAGCAACAGAGGTACCTTTTACGTTTCCTCGACTAACTTTTTGCATTTTCGTCTCTGGGCAAACTTGTTTTTTTAAATTTTTTCATTCACGATTACAGAAAACTCAGAGAAACAAAATTTATATATTTAGATATATTCCTATGGCGAGCCTTTTGATGATTCAATTTCGGGGATTGTTTCAATATTGGTAAAGCATTTCAAAATACAGAGACAAGTCAAAATAAAAGTGACGACGTTTTGGAATCATCGTCTCATCAACGTCATCTTGGGAAGATAATATTTGACTTAATTATGAAGTCAAGCAACTCTTTTCTTTAGTCACCTTGAAAATGGTTTAGCAATGATACCGAAATGTTGGCTTGTTTCACTGCGTTATTGTAACTATAATAACCCTATGCTGTCTTTCATCTCATTTCTTAGTCTAGATCTAATAGAATTAGCACAGTTTTTATTTCTTTCTGCTTTTACGCAGGCAGGAAATGTAGGAGGTTTTTTTCCTCTCCTGTCGCATCAGGAGGTATCGAACTGCAAGATGGTGTAAACTTCTTACATGAAATTCGTTTTTTCTGACGTAGTTCCCCTCGGATCCATCAAAGAGCTCCCGGCGAAAACCTGTGGTGAGATTGAAGCAAGTGAAGGGAACCAGATAGCTGACGGGAAATACTGGATTTACTCTGAAGAAAGTAGCGAGGTCATCGAGGCCTATTGTAAAGGTAAATTGTTTGACTAAATTAGTGGACTCATTAATAATAATAATAATAATTTATTACTCATATAGCGCAGAATACATGTGGATATGATCTAATGCGCTATACAATAAGACTATGCAAAATACAGTATGAAAACGAATTATAAAAGGCTAAGAATATACAATATGACTAACTAAAAAAAAAGGTATGAAAACGAACTATAAAAGGCTAAGAATATACAATATGACTAACTAAAAAAAAAGGTATGAAAACGAACTATAAAAGGCTAAGAATATACAATATGACTAACTAAAAAAAAAGGTATGAAAACGAATTATAAAAGGCTAAGAATATACAATATGACTAACTAAAAGCGGCTGGTAGACCATACAGCAAACCATTGCAATAATCAATACGTGCGGTGATGAATGCATGAACGAGTGTTTGTGTGGAGTCTTTAGTTAAAGATCATCATCCCACTGCCTCCTCAAAGTGTTATCCTATCCCGACTTTTTTTTTAAAACTTACCAAAATAATATCTTGTCTCAGTGTTTCTGCAGATAAGTGAATTACAGTAAAAAAGGGGTTTGTTTTCATTAATTCCAATAGAGATATAAACGCGGAGAAGAAGATTAGTAAATGACATGAATTGTTCTTTCTCTTATACAAAATTGTTTTAATAGCGAATGGGAATAGATTACAATAACTATATATCCAGGTCACGACGCCGAAAAGGACAATGGTTTACCTTTTTTATCAATGGAATTTATCTTACAAACGGCTGTCACCCTAGTACCATTCGAAAATGTGTTGGCTGAAAGTAGCTATTTTTTTTAAATACAGTTTAATTAACTTTAAAAACTATCTACCTATCCTATAACTTTATCTTAGAGAGCTGGCAAAAGATAAATGGCGAAGAATCCGTCTGCTTTGGAGCCAAAGATAACCAATATGGTTCCTTCAACATGACAAAGAGTGGACGAGTAAAAACAATGAAGCTTATTCACCGGTCAGGGTCGGTGCTCTGCAACAATTATTATATTCCATCCTTCTGGGGCTGCACCCACCCAAATTATGGAGAAGATTTGATGACAATCATCACAGATGCAAATAAGAAGGCTATTCTGCCCCCTGCCGAAGACTTGAAAGGTGACACAGTACACCATTACACTCTTCCTGGATATCACCATAATTCAACTGAGCTGGTTTTTCGCAACCTCGTCAATCCATTGTCTGTCTTGAGCAACCAAGAGATGCAGATATGGTACGGACAGGATTGGAAGGACTGCTTTGAGATAAACAACAGCGGTAAAACTTGTGTTGATGTGTATGCATGGTATGAGTGAGTCTGCCCACTGGAGATCTTGCCTTCGATAATCTTAAAACGTAGAAGAAAAATATTAGAAAACACTTTTAGGAAGGCAAACCTGTTTCAATGTTTAAGGACTGCTATGTCTTCGTTCTATACCTGACAGAAAAAAGAAAGACCGTAGGGATCAGAATGGTTTATTATTAAAATGTCGCTCGAGATCACGGAGAAAGGCCTGATATTTTTCGGTCAATTAGTTTTTCTTAGTTTTGCTCAGCATGGTACACCTTACTAGGTATTGTTGTACACTTCCTTAGAATTCATAGTCGAGAGCAAATTTAACTGTATCAGAACGTTTAATTTCAATAAATTCATGCACTTAAGTGGTTATTTATAGTGGGGTTTCGAACTCATCCTCGATTTCAAAAAGGGAAAAATGGAAGCCAAATAAAACTAAACAATTCCGGAAGGCAAAAAAAGGAAAGAACACAAAACAAAAACAAACACTCTCCCGAAAAATACTCTCCTCATTTCCGTGTATCAAGTCTATTTTTCATCATAACGTCCTTGACCTGTGATCCTTCCTAAAAACTCCCTCAAATAATTCATGGATAACCGACGCCAGGAAAAACCTCAAGGCACTTGACTAAGTCAGTTCCTTCCAAATGTTTTGGTAGAATATTGAATCATTGCGCATATTTTTGCTTTAATCCTGTCAACAATGAAGAGAAAAATCTTAGTCAGACTTTATTGAGGGTGGGAAAGATTAGTTGCCTTGTTTCTTAGGGCAAAAGGAATGAAATAAGCCAAAAATGTTGAAAATCATAACTTCTTTACTCCCAACTACAAGTAAACTACAGCTACGAAGTAATCTAGTATTATTAACTGAGTTGATGACGTAAATTGTCTACGCAAAGAGTTTCAAAGCTAACGTTTCGGGCCAACAGAGAGAACTGGCCGATTTTTTCCCATTAAAAGAAAAAAAATAATACTCACATCATTCTGATAAGTTCCAGAGAATGCAGGTTTTCCAGAGTCCTGCTTGCTTGTTCTTCGGATTCCTGTTTAGTAAAACCAAGAGATTAAGACAACTTGATGACAAGCTGATTGACAAACTGAACGAATGAAAGACCAACCGACCGACTGCCTGCCTGATTGAGTCATTGACTGACTGAATGACTAAGAGACCAACCGACTCACTCGCTGACTAACCGATTGTTATGATCTGATTGATCCATATTTCAGCATCTTGGTGATTTTTCTTTTTGCTGATGGAGGCGTGCTTTGGGAGCCAAGTGACCAGCCGAGTAACTATCTGGTGTACTACATATAGCTGGATGATTTACTGACTGATTGAATTGTTTGCTGGATGCCTGCCTTTCAGGCTGATTAACTGAAAAACTAATTGATTGACTGACTGAGTGAATAGCTGACACATTGTCTGTCTGACCATCAAACTCAAACATACCTGCGTGAGTGAAGCACTGAACAACTGGCTAACCAGTTGACTGCTTGCCTGCCTCTCAAGCCCAAAAATTTACCGCCTGGCCAGCTGCGTGCCTGCCTGCTTGAATGACTGACTGAACTACTGTCTAACTGGTCTCCAAAAACAAACCAAATGTCATTGATTGATATATGAAAAAGTAGATCAACTACCAAATTAAGGAGTGTGGACATCAACCGGAAATCTCTTCCAAATAAACGCACGTGCATTTAGAAAAAAGCACCCACAAAATGCGTATATACGTCACGAAACTTCCCCACTCTCAAATTCGCTCGAAGACTTACATCTGTTACAGTTGCTTCTGCCGTCCAACACGGAGATACATTTACAAGTTTCTCCGTTTGGACTGTAGCGAGACACTAAGAAGAATTATATTTACGTTTTGTAACTTGCTGCGTGACGAAAAAAGAAAACCAAAACCGTGGTCCCCAAATGAATTCTCCCACCTTGCCCCAAAAATTGTCCAAATTTTCCGCAACTTCACCTTTTCCTATTCCTAGGTTCGGCCAAGCCTTTATGGTCATTGGCTCCCGTATAGCCACTGACTATGGCTTATAAATACAGGTGTTTAATGTTAAATTGTAAAACTCCCCGAAGAAGTCTACGACAGTTAAACGAAACGCGTCGGAGAATAAATAAATTTTACGACTACCGTTCGTAGAGTGCTGCTCACCAGTTTAGTTTTAAAGATTTTTTTAATTTGGTGCGGTCAGTTGTGGTCAGTTTTTCCATGCAGGTTGTCTGGATGTACCTTTCGCAGAGACGTGGGGGGGACAGAGACACCAACACAACATTTCAACTGCCGTTCGCTTCGAAAATTAAGTTTTCATCCCGAGTTCATTTGTTAAATAAAATAGGAAAAAAAAAAACACTTCGAACGGAAAACAGAATTATTTTAACGCCTGGATCTTCTGGAAAAAGGTCTCCTAAACGAGGGGCCCTAATTATTAATATTTAAGCATGGTAAACACTGATTAGCCTTAACTTGGCTGTTTCTCGAAGCTCAGGGTTTTCCTACATGCCTTTTTCACGTGAAATAAGGCGATTTAATATATATAATAAACACTAAAAGAACTACAGCTGATGGAAATTTATAATTTCTTATCTAAAGGCTGTGGAAACAAACTTATTAGTGACTCTAAAAATATAGAAATCTAGAACGAAATTTTTTTAGAGTTGCTTAGCTTCTCATTTTTCTGGAATCGAAAGTTGAGATTGCAAAATTTAAGTGAAAAGCAAACCGACTGTGTTTACGTCTTAAACAAGTCAAGATACTTTTTGCGTCATACAAGTTACATATCGTAAATATCATTCTCCTTGATGCCTTTCCTCGTGTCACCGATGCCTTTCCCGATGCCTCCATTGGTTAATATAGCAGTAAAAATATTGTTCCAGTCAAAGTGTATGGAAAATTGCTTAGCTATTGAATTAGCGAAGTATAACCTGGTAACATTTTGGATTGTTTTTTGCAAGTTACAAAACGTAAACATAATTCTTCTTGGTGCCTTTCCGAATGCCACCGATGCCTTTCCCGATGCCTGCATTGTTTAATACAGCAGTAAAAGACATATGTGCCATCAACACTTTTGAAACATTGCTTCACATTTTATTTAGCGAAGTATACTGTTAACATTTCGGCTTTACAACACTATTGTTTTCTGCAACTACAACTGGTATGTCTCCATATGAATTATTAAATTTGTTTCCCCGCTGACCACTCGTATTTCGCTCTTTTCTTCATCCCCCACTCGTCGCCCGTGATGTAGTAACTCCCGCATTTCTTGACGGCGCATGAGAACAGTGTAAGGGTATAATTGAATGAGTAAAACAGCAAGTTTTGGAAAATATGGCTCTCAAAACTCGGTTGCCATGGTAACGTCAATGCTGACGTACAAGTCACGACGGCTTTAAAATGTCCCCAGATGATTTTTAGGAAAAGTCGCTAGGTTTGGTGCTCAAAGCTTGAGCGGTTTTGAAGTTATTCAACTTTTAAGCAAAGGGGGGCTTCAAACCCTTCCCGGTCTAGATAGGGTTAAGGGTGTGAATAAAATATAAGAACGTATGGAATGCCACGAGTAAAAGCTAAACCTCGCCCAACTTTTACGTTTACGTGCGACCTTTCAAACATTGCCTCTATTTAAATTACGCGCCTAAAAGCTATGTGTGTATGCACGTAAAATTTACGCGACAGTGGGAATCCACCCTTATTCACCTACCTAGACGCGAGCAGTAACCAATTAGAGAGCACTCGTGTAGTAGGCAGTCGAGTAACATTCATAATACACCTACGCCAGGCGCGCAACAAAATTATTTCCCTTTTTCACTTTCTTATTTTACCTTGAAATCAGTCTTGAGGTACCGCTTTGCCTCCTTTAAAGCTTCCTTTTGTGTTTTTGCCCATGTAAGACCCATTCCGTTTTCCCCGAGCTGGTGCCATTATGGACAATATCTGCCTGCGAGAATCCCTTTCGTTTGCATTTTTGTAGCAGTTTGCCAGCGTGTACATCAATTCTTTATCCAAACCACTAGAACAAGTGTGATTTCCAGTTTCATTTTGTTTTGAGGACATAATAGATTCCCAGAGAAGATCTGGATCATTAGGCGCTATTTCACCAAGAACAGCTGAAACCGCTTGCTTCGTCTGGTCCTTCCACTGGCATAGTTCCAAGGTGTCTTTAGGGTGTACCTAATAGGACTAACGTCTCGACTTCTTAAGAAACTGTTAAGGTGGTCAATAGGTTCCTCCGACTTCATTCCTGTAGTGCTTGTCTCGGTTTCTTCTAGGAGGGTTGATGGTAAATATAATGACGTTTCTTGCTCTAGTTAGTCATGTGCTACCACCGAACAAGGAGTACTTGCAGCAATTCGAAAGTTACACATCACGCCCTAGACAAGGACGCAAAATAACTTTAACGTAAACTATATTAAAAAAAATTAATTGGGTACATAATTATCAAAGTTAACCAACACTTAGACAAAGATCAATAATCCCTCCTGATCTTTGTTGCCTTTATTATGGACTAAAAATAAAACCTTTTTCGCTGCCTTCATTTATGATAACAAGTGCCTAATTTATTATATAAAATACCTTTCATTATGAAAAATAAGTACGAACTTTAAAGCGAGTGGTAAAGGAACCCGGAGTGGTATATTGGAAACCCAAAACGTTTTTCTGGGCGTTATTCACCGTATCCTTAACCTTGAGAAAACCACATGAACTCGTATCCCTGGCGGTATAAGGTGGAGGGATGCGTGTGTGTAGGTGGGGGCAAGTGGAAGCAAAAATGCAGTTTTTTTTAAATGAACCCTTTATTCTTAAAAGAACAATTTGGCCTCAGCTTACCATCGCGGACTACGTGGTTTTTAAATTGTTGCCACTGCTTCAAGTTCTCAGATTTTGGTGAGAATAAAAATAGAAAATCCGCTGAATAAATTTCAACTGTGTGCAGACGCAAGGGCGACATAAAATGCACGGGTTATTAAACCTCTTCATTATCTGCAGAACTCAGGAAAAACTGACGTAGAAGGCACAAAATAAGCATATGGCATTGTTTTCTTGGATACCAGCACACAGTCTGAGGTCTACGAAATCGGTTAATTTGTGCTCTCTATCCCTATTCGTTACATTTTAAGGAAAGGCAGCAAGGAAACGGGGCCCGCTCATGCAGACTTTGTGATGATAAGGTCCCTATCCATTTTTTTTTTTTATCTTTTTTGCCCCGCGGGCCTTGTTTGGTGCCACTGTTAATAACACTATTTCCATTGAGTGCCAGTTCAGAACTTACAGAAGTCTCAATGGTCTCAGTTTCCTCGTAAGAAAG